AGCCGCGCAGGGGTGGGATTTCCCACGCCCCGCGGGCAGTGCAGCTGGCTGCCCATGCAGGCGTTCCCCATTGTACGGGGTCAGTCGGAGCATCCAGCCCAGTGTTGCCAAGAAGCTCTGCAGTTGAGCGTGCGCCGCTTGTTGCCTGCTTTATGGGCCCCACAGTGCTGGCTGGCTCATGCCCTGGGCCCAGCCGGACCCGTTCCTGGATGGCAAGCAGGGCCCATGGCTCCCGGGCTGGCTCCTGAGCAGGGTCCCAGCCAGACAGGAGACAGCAGTCTCATAATGCCTCTCTCTGGCAGGAACAAGGGCAGAACGGCAAAGCCAAAGACTTCATCAGCCTCGGCCTGAGAGATGGACACCTGGTGTTCAGGTGAGCATGGCTTGGTGCCAGCCGAGGAGCAAATGGCCATGTGTCCCTTGACGCACCCCTTCTGCCAGCCAGGGAGCATGTCCAGAGCACAAGCTAGAAACCCCAGAGCTCCTGCCTTGGGACCCCAGATCCACCTGCCCTGGGCCCACCTTCTCCCTGCCCCCAGGTCCACCTCCCCGCGGCATCCCAGATCCACCTTCCCACTGTTCCTAGGACCCCGGACCCACCTGCCCCCAGGACCCCGACCCACCTTCCCCCTGACCCAGGACCCCAGATCCACCTCTCCCTGGAACCCCAGACCCACCTTCCCCCTACACCTGGGACCCTGGACCTACCTGCAGCCTGGATCCACATTCCCCCTGCCCAGGATCCCAGACCCACCTTCTCTCCCCGCTTCTTTCATGTCAGATCCACTCTCCCGTCTCTGAGACCCTAGACCCCCCCTCCCGAGCCTCACCCCCAGGGTCCCAGAACCACCCTTCCCCGGTCTCCCCCAGACCCCACTGCCCCAGAGCACTGGGCGATGCAGAAACTGCTTGCCCCTCCCCCCCCCCAGCTAGTGCTGGGTAATGGGTGGATGCTGTTGTTTCCCCCACCCCCCCCCCCCCAGTTTATGCGGACGCTGCCCCCTGGCAGTGGGTGCTAATACCAGCTGTTCTCCCTGCAGTTACCAGCTGGGCAGCGGCGAAGCCAACATTGTCTCTGAGGACCCAATCAATGATGGAGAGTGGCACAGAGTGACGGCCATTCGGTGAGGGGCCCCAGGGCTTAGCTCAGCACCGTCCTACAGCCAGACATCCCCCTGGGAAGGGAAGGGGAGGGAGCCATCCCACTGCAAGGCAGCCCTCTAGCTATTCTGAAAGGGTCCTTAGTCCCGGGCTCCCCCTGCAGAGGGGCTGAGCCAGGCTGCAGCCTGGAGCCGGGGAGCCCAGTGGGGTGGCAGGGGAGTCCCTGGTGTCAGTGGGCGCAGCTCCCCCATGGTCGATCATCCTGCCCCCTCACTCCCGGCTGGGATGGGGGCTGGCCCTGGACGAGCCTGGCTCACACCTGTCTCTGTGTCCTGCAGGGAAGGCAGGCGGGGCTCCATTCAGGTGGATGGCGAGGAGCTGGTGAGCGGGGAGTCACCAGGCAGCAACGTCATGGTGAACACCCAAGGCAGTGTGTACATAGGTGAGGCTGGGCTGGCGCCCTGGGGACCTGCAGGGCACGAGCGGACGGGCTGTGTGGGACTTGGGAGACCTGGGTGTACTTGGGGAGGGGGAGGGGAGGAAGTGGGGCTCTCCCCTGCCCCTGCCCGCTAGCTGGGCCCTCCTGCCCAGGGACCTAATGCCCAGGAGCCCTGTCTGAGCCAGCACCACCGCTTCTGGAACAGAAGAAGGAGTGAGAGGGCTGCCAGGCCGGGCACTTCCCATGGCGGCATGGGGCCAGCGGAGCCCAGGTGTGTCACATGGTGCGATTCTGCACTGGGGAGCAGCAGAAGCAACACTCACGGGTTTGGGATGCGCTGAGAGGATCATGGTCACTTGGGGAATTCCCATAAACCCCCCTCCCAAGAAGGGAGGGAAGGGTCTAGTGATTAGGGGAGGGGAGGGGAGGGGGTTCCATCCCCAGCTCTGCCCCTCGCCCTGTGTGTGTCCTTAGCTCGCTCCATGCCTCGGTTTCCCCACCGCTCCATGTGAACAGGACGTAAGAGCTGCCGTGCTGGGTCTGACTCAGTCCGTCCAGCCTGCTCTCTGACAGGCCATGAAGAGCAGTGGGCCATGTGGAGTGATCCAGTCCCGGCTGTGGCCATTGGAGCGCTCGGGACAGCCTGGGGCTGCCCCCGGCAGTGTCTTTGGGAGCTGACTGTTTCTCCTCTCGCCCCCAGGAGGCGCTCCTGCCATCCGAGCCCTGACCGCCGGCAAGTTCCGCTCCGGAATCACAGGGTGCATTAAAAACCTGGTGCTGAGCCACGAGCAGCCGGGCCAGCCGCCGCGGCAGCCCATTGACTTGCAGCATCACTCGGAGGCGGGAGTTAACATGCAGGAGTGCCCCTCATAGGCTGGCTGCCACCAGCCCCGTCCGCCGCCGGCCCCGTCCGCAGGCCGATTGGGGGACCTCGGCTGCTTATTATTACGATGATTCATTTTTGTAAAGAAACCCAGAGGAAAATGGAGCTTCGCTGCTACCCCAAGCGAGTGGGGGAAGGGTTTGTTTGTGTGATTGGCGCGTGGCAGCAGGGGGCAGCCCCGCCTCCCGCCAGCCCCACGGGAACGCGGACCCTTCGCACCTGAGGAGACGGTGGATTTGACCCAACCGCCATGGGCCCATGGCCATAGACAGCCGGGAGCCCAACCCAGCGCCAGCCCCTCCACGTCCTGCCCAGCAAGGGCCCCACGGGATGGGGAGCCCACCCCTCTGCCTTCCAGCTTCAGCACTCGGAGCATGTGCCCCTGAGCTGGGCGGGACGGAGGGTGCCAGCTGGCTCTGCTGTGCCCCATGCCCGCTGAGGGATGGGGGTCTGGGGAGACGGGGCATCTTTTCTCCTCTAGGGAGAGATGGGATCCACATTCATCCTTCCAGAGTTAGGAGAGTGGGATCGAAGTCACAGCCCACTTTGCAGGTGGTCACCCCCACCCCCTCCATTCCATGGGCCAGCACTACAGGAGCCAGCAGGCCAGGGCAGGGGTTCCCACCAGGATCTGGTCTGTTTACACTGGCCGTCCCCATTGCCTCAGCCACACTCCAGCACCCGCACCACGGCTGCCCCAAGCCACTAGCTGAGCTGTCTCCCTAGACCCTCACCCGGAGGGTCATGCCCGCAGAGCAGGAGGGCAGGGGCAGGCTCCTGGAGGGGCAGGCCCCGGGAGCGACAACAGCTCATGCTGCAGGGTACCCTGGCCAGCATCCCGCATGCACAGCTGGGGGCCCAGGCATGACGGCAGCCCCCTGGCTCAATCCAGGGCCCCGCAGAGAGACCAGTGGTGGTGGCAGGAGCATCCCATGAGCAGAGGCTGTTACGTGTCCCTATGGGCAGCAATGCAGACCAGCCCTCAGGGCTGGATTGGGACCCCCCCCAAAGATCATTCCTCCCCAGTCAGACGGGCGGACAGACGCAAGTGCCTTACTAGCAGCAGGACCCTCTGGGGTCCGGGCTGCCCCTATTCACCCAGCAACCATTGGGCAGACCCTTGAAAGCTGCCCACCCATTCCCTGCCCTGCCTGGCAGGCGGCGTTCCCTACGCTGGAGCCGTCTGCTCACAGGACAATCTTCGCTCACTGCTCTTGCCGGCTCTGCCAGGTCCAGAACTGAGCACTCACCCAGCGCCGAGCCCTGCAAATCGCGCCCCCGACTGCACTGGCTGGAGCTTGCCCAGCATCACATAGTGGGACAGAGACAACTCGGCCTAGGCAGCGGCAGGCTGGGCAGATCAGCCCACTGCAAACAGCCCTTTGCCCCAGCCCACCACCAGCTCCCTGAGCAGAACCGGGAGCTCCAAGGGCACCGGTTCTAACAGAGCCCAGCCAGTGTCACCTCTCTGCCTTGAGTGACGTCCCGCCCCGGGGCAAGGTGCCAGCACACGGCACAGGTCCCGCTGCCACTGCCCTGCGTTGCCCTTCTCTCCGGGGCGGCTGCCACCCCAGAGACCGGCAGGGAGCCGGGCTGCTTGTGTTCCTGCCATTCAGATGGCGTCCTAACGCACCCGACCCCAGACCACGTCCGGCTCGTGCTGTTTCACTGGATTCTTATTAAACGACAAGTAACGCCTGAGCTGTCTGTCGGAGGGTGAGCTGCACCTCGCCCCGTGTGTCTGCTTCGGGCGCCTGCCAGCCGGGCCAGGACTCAATACAGGGGGTGTTAGCAGTTGTCCCATGGGTCCCTCTTTGTTAACGAGTCACCAAACAGCTGCCAGTGAGGGGGCAGGCAGGGGGCTGGATGCAGAGTCTGGCAGGGCCCCACCAGTCCTATGGGCCCATTAAGCCGAGCCAGCACCTGGTGGGGCTTCATGGGGGAGTGTGATGGGAGCCAGGCGAAGGCCACGCTCCTCTTCCACTGGCTGGGGAGCAGCGTTTCCTTTGGGGTGTTTGGGCTAGGGCCCTGGCCCCTGCTGGACCTGCCAGCCCTGCTTGCCCCCGTCCCAGAGCCTCCTTTGGGGAGCCCAGCTGCAGCCGGATGGAGCCGGTGCTGTTTGTGCAGGAGCTGGGGGAAAGCCCCAGGGCCCCTTTAGCAGAAGATGGGGGTTGGTCACTGTTCCTAAATAAGCCGTGCTGAACCAGCCCGGTGCCTGGCTTCCCAGCCTCAGCCGGGTCACGCAGGGGGCAGCAGTGGCCATTGGTGTCGGCTCTCCTGGGCCTGGTTTCCAGTGGGGCCGAATGCCGGCAGCTCCTGGGGCTGCAGAGGAGTTCGCAGGCTTGGAGCTGCTGCCAAATCTGGCCCTCAGCACAGACCGGGCACCTGGAAAACAAGGTGCCCCAAAGCGTCTGCTTGTGACAAGGTGGGTGCAGCACCCCAGGAAATGGCCAGGCCTGGTCACCCCCAAAGCTCTTGCAATAGCATGACCCCAGCAACACGGGCCGTACTAGTGATGCCCACCCAGCCCTCCCCGCTTGCAGGGCAGCTCAGGGCTGGGCGCACACAGCTCCCGAGCAAAGGGTGGGCTTGTTTTATTAGCGCTGGGCTCACACCCTCCGCCAGCTGCACCCCACAGGCTGGGACAGTGCGTTTGGTGCGGCAGGCGTCACAACAATACTCACAGGCCGATCTGGGGGGCACGCGGCCTGCCCCCAGCCGCGCCGTGCTCAAAGGCCGGGGGCCAAGCCCCACCCAGGCCAGTGACTCCGTCGCTCCTTCCACCACCCGCAGCGCTCACTGGGCAGCTCCCGGGCCCCCGAGCAGCCCTCTGGGCCCTTGTGTTTTGGAGGCTGCCGCCTCTGGGGGAAGGCACATGGGGCCTGGCCCGTGCCTATGGGAGTGGGCAGGGGGGGGTAGTGGGAGCTGCCCCACCCCCTCTCATCTCCCCCCACCCACCCCACCAAGCCAGCAGAGGGCACGGGCAGGAGAGGTCGGATCCCTGCTCCTCCGGCCGGGGGGGAGGCCCAGTGCCCGCCCCCGGGCAAAGATGGCACGGCTGGCATCAGAGGGGCAGGTCGTCGCTGTGCTGCGGCGTCACTTTGCCGGAACAGCCCTGGTTCCTGTGGGCACAGCTGCGGGGGCAGAGCTGGCATGAGGCCCACACGGAGTTGCAGCCAGGCAGGAACCGGCAGGCCCCGAGTCTCCAGACAAACCAGCCAGGGGACCAGCAGCACCAGAGCAGGAGGGCTGAGCCCACGCCCAGCCCCAGGAGGATGTAGAGGGGCAGCAGGGAGCCCGAGCTCCTCTCACCTGGAGAGGAAGGAAAAGGGCTGGGGGCAGTGAGTGCCAGGTGCCTCCCTTCTCCTCCCCAGCACTGCTCTGTGGCTGTCTCTGCCCCCAAACGCCCTCAACGTGCTGGAGCCAAAAGCAGACAACTCTGGCGAGCCTGTCCTGCCACAGGGTGGGCAGAGCCCAGGGGGCTCCCGTGCCCTCAGTGCCCCAGCCATGGGGCCACAGGGCCTGAGTTGCTGCCAGCCTGCTCCTTCTGCCATGTGGTGCTAAGCCAGCTGCACTGTGCATGGGGGCACGAGACACCAGGGACAGGGTGGATGCGGGCCGCAGGGGACAGCTGGCAATGCTGCATCACACGGCCAGGCGTTGGCCCTTGGAGGGTCGCTGTAGGGGGCACGTTGGGAGAGGAACAACACAGGTGCCTGTTGCAGGGCCCAGAGCCTCGGCGAGGGTCAGTGTGAGACAGCAGCTGATCTCTCACTCGCCTGCCGAGCCGCTACTCCTCGAGCCTGAGCTCAGAGCGGGGGGAGGAGGAACACACACGTAAACATGCCTGTCATTGCACACGCAGCCACCTGCCATTGCACACCCGCATGTCATCGCACACGCAGCCACCTGCCATTGCACGTCTCCATGCATGCACACACATCATACACCCACCTGTCTTTGCACACATGCACGTCATGGCACACACCTGTCAGTACACCCATTGCACACATGGACATACCTGTCATTACACACGCACACACACCCGTCATTGCATACACCTGTCACCATGCACACACGTCTGTCATTGCACAGGTACATACACAGCTGCTATTGCATATGCACACATGTAAACATGCAACTACCTGCCATTACACACATATGCACGTGTCATCGCACACAGACACATACACGTCATTACACAAACCTGGCATTACACCTGCACACAGGCCTTTCATTCCACACGTGCCATCATAAGTTTGTCATTACACATACATCTGTCGTTGCACACACATGCATGTCATTGCACATGAGCCCATATCTGTCATTATATACACACGTCATTGCATATGGACACACACCTGCCATTACACATGTACATACACCTGTCATTACACACACATCATCACGTGTCTGGCATGACACACACAGAGCTCTCGTTGCACACACACACGCGCACACATCAGTCAATCCTTCTGCAAAGTGCTGGGGGCATCCTGGGCTTTGACCTCCCAGGAGCAAGCTCAGATTGGGCAGAAAGGGCCCTGGCTGCCCGCCGGTTCAGGCTCCCCCCAGGGCATGTCGCAGGGGCTCAAGCACCCACTGAAAATAAATAGGGGGTGCTCTGCCCTGCCCCCACTTGGCCTCTCCCCACCCCGAGGTCCCGCCCCCCCGCTCAGCCTCTTCCCCTGCTCGCATGGGGTGGAGGGAGGAGGGGACAGAGCAGAGCACCCACCGCCTGCGAGTGGGCGGGTCCCAGACCCTGGCCCTGCCCCAGTCCCCGTCTGTACCATGGGGAACAGCCCAGCCCTGCCCCCAGGGCATGCGGAGAAATCCATTAACAATGCCAGATGCTGAGCACATTTCTGGGCCAGGCCCGGGACTTTGCACTTGGACTTAGGTACCTGCTGCAGGCTTGTCCAGGGGCGCAGTGTCTGGGGCCAAAGGGTGGCTCTTCTCTGCCCCGGCACAAGCCGCCATGCAGGGGGTGACGCTGGCTGCAGGGCTGCTCACCAGCTGGAGAGATGCTGATGTGGGGAGGTGGCCTGCATGGGGGAGAGGAAGGGGGTGTAATTGCACCAGCTGCCAGTGCGGGCATCAGCCCAGCAAAGAGCCCCCAGGCCAGGAAAACCCTTGGAGGGGAGCAGCCCTGAGCTCCTGCTGCCCCCTCCCACCCTAGCAGCCCTTCCCTGGCAGCTGCCTCACTAAAGGCCTCAGAGCCCCCCACCTCCCCGTCCGTTTGCTCCCCCGTCCTCCCATCCAGAATGCTCCCCCGCGCTCCCAACTGCACCAGGCAGGATCGGGCCCGTATTTTCCAGCCCTCTTGTCCATTACTGCTCTCGGGGGCACTCCCTCTCCCCCGCCCTTGCCCTGGGTTCTCCCCACCCGCACTGACCTCTGCACTTGGCAGGGGGGTGGGCCGCCTGGTCCGAGCCGTCCCCGCAGTTATCGATGCCCATCCGGTCACACACCAGGCTCCTGGGGATGCACTTGCTGTTCCGGCACTGGAAATACGGCTCCTCGCTGCACTCGGAGGTGCTGAAGCCTGAAATGGAGATGGCCAGCGCTGACAGCGTGGCTGGGAGCGGCTGGGAGCATGCACTGGCATGGGTACGTGACTCAGTGGCAGAGAGGGAAACGTGACCAAGCTGCCAGGCTCCCGGGGATGAGGTGTTTAGGGTGCAGGAGGTGGCTCAGGGCTGGGGCAAGAGCTTGGGGTGTGGGCTCTGGGAAGGAGTTTGAGTGCAGGAGGGGATTCTGAGGTGGGGAGGGGGGTGGGGCATGGGAGGAAGTTTGGGAGTGGGGATCTGGCTGGGCAACACTTACCTCAGGCGGCTCTCGGAAGCAGTCGGCATGTCTGGCTCCTAGGCAGAGGGGCCAGGGCGCTCCGTGCGCTGTCTGTGCCTGCCGGCACCTCCCCCACAGCTCCCACTGGCCAATGGGAGTTGCAGAGTTGGCACTCGGGGCAGGGGCAGTGCGTGGAGCCCCCTGGCTGCCCCTGTGCCTAGGAGCTGGACATGCGGACTGCTTCCAAGAGCTGCGCAGAGCCAGGTCAGGCCTGGAGCCTGCCTTAGCCCCACTGCGCCACCAACTGGACTTTTAGCAGCCTGGTCAGTGGTGCTGACCGGAGCTGCCAGGGTCCCTTTCCAACAGGGTGTTCCAGTCAAAAACTGGCAACCTTAGCCATGCCGCAGAGTTTCAGACCCAGGCTCTCTGCAAGCTGGGGCCCTGCCTGGGGCACTGCAAGCAGGACCTTAACGCCCCACTAGCCACGGGTGAGACAGCAGGGCGAGCATGCCAAGAGGCTAAAGGACATGGCAGCACCTACTGCTCTGGAGGGGAGATGGCCTCTCCAGTCAGGGGGGCGGCATCAGAGCAGCGGGGGTGTCTGACCAGGGAGAATGGCCTTTGGTTTCTCTTCGAACCACTGGCTCTGGGGCCTGGCAGTGACCACTGAGAGCGGAGCCAGGCTATCGCGCCACCAACGCCCCGCTCACTGGCATCAGGGGCGGGGCGTCACTGATCTCAGCAGGGCCATGAGTTCACCCTGACTAAAGGGCTCTTTGCAGGGCTAGAAACCCTGTGTCTCAGAGCCCGAGACAGTCGGCACAACCTGAAGACCTGAACTACACTGGCCACAGTGGGTGTGTGGGGGGGGGTGAGAGAGAGCGAGAGGTTGCATGTGAGAGGACATGTGCAACCTTGTGTGAGATGGGGGGTGGGTGTGCACACGCCCACGTGCGCAAGGGTGTGTGTACAGGAGCGTGTGTGCAGCTGTTCATGTACAGCCTTGTGTGAGACTCTGGGTGTGCGTGCACGCAGGCCTGTGTGTGTGGAAGCATTTGTGCAGCCTTGTGTGAGACGCGGTATGCGTGTCTGTGTGCAGCCGTGTGTGTCTGTGTGTGTATAGGGGTGTGTGCAGACAGCGTGTGTCCAGGAATATATGTGCAGCTGTGCGTGGGGGGCCTAGGCACACGTCATTCTGTGTTCCAGGCAACTGTGGAGTCCCTGGCAAACAGGTGCGTTTTCCCCGTGCCCTGATGGGTGTTCATCGCCATCACACGCGCTTGCGGCCAAGCCCATGTCACTCCTGATTCACCCCCCACCCTGCCAATCAGGTGGCCTTTGGAATCTGCACCCCCTGGGCGTTCATGGGCCAGCCCTGCCTCTGCTCCCCGGCCTGCACCTGATCCAGCCACCCCAGGACCAGACTCCTGCAGAGCCTGGCGGGGATTCAGCAGGTAGCACAAATACTCAGTTTATTTCCTCCACTGAAGCCCTTTGCCACATGTGCCCTGGCCCCGTGGCGGCTGGTGACCGGGCCCCAGGGCACAGCTGGCATTGGTCTCCAGGCAGGCGGCGGGGGCTGGGCAGCTGATCTTTGGGCTGGACACTGTGCTTGTCTGGCAAGGTCCTTTGGCTCGTGCCCCCTGCACGTGTTGCACCTCACCCAGTCGGAAGGATGTAAAATCGCCGACGAAATCCACCCGGGGCTGCTGCCCCCGTGTCACCAAGCGGAGGGTCAGGTAGTTCCCGGTGGACAGGATGGGCCTGGGGATGCTCTTCCCACACAGCGGGACCCCCAGGGGCTCGGCAGCACGACCTCTGCCATCATAGAACTGCACATACGATCCAGCATTGCAGGGATCCTGAAGCTCCCAGTCTCCACCAGACGAGGTCTGTCCAGGCCCCCTTTGGCTGGGCCGGGTGGTCTCTGGGGGCAGAGGCGCTCCGGTGGCAGTGGGTGGGGGCCTGCCGCTGGGGGCCAGGCGCAGCAAGCTGTACACCAAGAAGAATCGGAACTGAAACTGGACTTTGTCTTTGGGCGACGCGGCCTGCATGGTGAGGGAGCAGTCTGTCCCCGTGGCCACGAAGTAGTAGCGCCGGGAGTCCCTGTGCGAATTGATAATCAGCCCGTCGTCTCTGATGGTCAGGCCACAAAAATCCACCAGGTTCACTGAGGCGGGGGAGAGAGAGAGAGTTGCCACCCGAGCCCCAGCAGGATGTGCAGCCCCTGAATCCCAGTGCCTCTGTCCCTGCCTCGGGAGACGGCAAAGCATGGAAACGGCCCTGGGGGGGAGCCGGCTCGTCCCCGCCTAGCGCCCAGCTGCGCTAACAACGTGCACCAGCTCGCACGGCTGCGGCCTGCTCTGGGGACACACAGATACCGCCTTCCTCCTCTGACCCCAAGGGCCAGGATGCACAAACCCCACAGCAGGTAGGAAGGGGTTAAAGAGCAGCCATGGGATCGGGCAGCCCCGCCCTGCACGCCTGTGACTGATGCCAGGTTTGGAGGAGATGCTTACCAGGGAGAAGCCCAGCTCAGAGGACCCCAGCCCTGGGAGGGCATCAGGCCTCTACCCCTCAGCTCCCAGAGGGGAGCCCAGCTGCTGTCAGGCTCCTGCACACAGCAGGTGCAGTACGATGGCCAGGCCGCTGGTGGGACAGGAGGCATGGTGCTGGGCTCTACTGCTGTTAGTTTGGTTTTCATGCTTTGCTGCCGCACCCCCTGGCTTGAAATGGTTTCCATCATTAACAGTTTGGTTTCAAGTCTCTCAGCACCCGCATTATAAAAACGGTTCCAGCATCCCTGGCTGTGGCAGCGGCTGAGACCACGAGCCTCGCCCCAGGGCAGGATGCAGACAAGGCGAGCCCCTGCACCCAAGCTGGGCTGGTTCAGGAAGTAGCTGAGGGAAGAAGAAAGAGGGCTGATGAGGCAGAAAACCCACTTGCTGCAGGGTCCCTAGGCTGGATCCAGGGTGGAGGCAGGGAGTGGGTCCCTACAGGCTAACCAAGGGGGCTGTATGGAGGCCCCAGACACAGGGGCCAGAAGGACTAAGGGGCTGGACCTGGGGCAATGTCATGGCACTGTTGAGTTAAGCTCTGGTTCATCCGAAAGGGCTGAATGTAACTGTGCCCTGGCTGGAGGCCATGGGCGGATGGGACAGCCAGTCGCAGGGGCTACGGAGAGGCAATACCCTGAGACACCGCGCCCAGCCACAGGGCAGCACGTCAGCTTGCAAGGCATACCCCCGCACAGCAAAGCCCCGCAGAGAGGTAACAGCCCCCCCAAGGTCACAGTGGTTCCCAGGATGAAGTCTGTCTGGGGGGATAATCCCAGGGCTGCTGGGAGCTGGGCCAGCTGAGTGCAGGGGACTGGCAGGCCGTAAATCTCAGGCAGTGTTCTTGGCCCTGGGACTCGGCCAGAGATTTCACTGCCATGACTCTGGCCATGCTCCATCTGGGGGGCACCGGGCACGAGGGGCTGGTGCTCTTTGGAACCTGTTGTCCACAACAACCTGCACCAGTCATGGCTGCTGCTGCCCGAACTTCCAGTCAGGGAGAAGGGGTGGCAGGGAGGAGACCTACAGCCACTCTTCAATGCCCCAGAGAACTACAGCTTTGACAAACCTTCCCGATAGACTGACTGGAAGCCGTAATTTGCAAGATTTTGAACTGCTAAAAAAAACTCCACAAAGAAACTGGAGATATTCAGGTATCGTCTCTAATTTATGCTATGGGGAAACAGGTCGAGAGTATATTTACATCTATTGACTTTACTGAAGATAGTCACAAAGATGACTATGAACAGGTTTTGGCTATGTTTGATGCATATTTTCTACCTCAGAGAAATGTAGTTTATGAAAAAGCATGTTTTCACCAGAGAATTCAAAAACCAGGGGAAAATGTTGACTGTTTTATAAGAGCTCTGGATACACTGGCTGAAACCTGAGATTTGGGGAATCCAAAACAGGAAAATATCAGAGTCAGGCTGGTTATTGGGTTAACAGATAAAAGCCTTTCACAGCAGCTACAGCTGAAGAGATTTAACCCCAGCCACAGCTATGCAGAGAGTGAAGCAGTCAGAATTAGCCAAACAACAGGCCAAATGGCAGGAGCAACTTGAAAAACCTGAAACTAGATTAAAAGCTGCAGACAGACACTTGCATGTTATCATAAAACCCTGAGGCCAGGAGAAAGAACTCCCAGGCTAAGAGGGACAAATTCCAGCCTAGTGCCCAAGGTGTGGAAAAAGTCGTATCCCAAGAGATGATTCATGTCCAGCCAGAGGCGCATGGTGTAATATGTGCATGAAATATGGACATTTTTTGGCTGTTTGCCACCACAGGGAGTTGACTCATATTACAGACAATCAAGATGAGCTGTTGTTCTGGGATCTATCACTGCTGGTGACACAGAATGTACCTGGAGAGTGAAACGGACTATTCCGTTGGCAAGACTATTGACTTTAAAATTGACTCAGAGCTGACATCACAGTCGTCTCAGCAATTGCCTTCAACCTCTACCAAAGCTGAATTTACCTGTCACAGCTCAGGCTAGCCCTGGAGGGATTCTGAGCTGCATGGGCCAGCTCACCACAGAACAACTTACAAAGACAAGAGCTTTGTGTTCACAGTGTATGTGATCCAAGGACACAGACTAACAGCCTTCCCGGCCACAGCGGAGCAGCCATGATGGGCCTAGTGAGAAAGGTGGATGAACTCCATGGAATATTTGGTGATATTGGACTTCTGAAAGAAGATCCAGTGCAATGACCTTAAGAGCCAATGCTGAACCATACAGTGTACCTACACCGTGCAGGATTCCTAGCCCATTACTTCATAAAGTGGAAACTGAGTTAAAGAGAATGGAGCGGCTTGGCATAATCAAGCCAACTGCATGGTGTGCCCCAATGGTACCAGAAATAAAGAAAAATAGAAAAATACAAATCTGTATGGATCTTAACAGTCTTAATGAATTAGCTGTGAGACAAAAATCTACCCTTCCACCACTGGCTGACTTCCTCCCCAAAATGAAAGGAGCTACAGTATTCTCCAAGCTGGATGCCTTGAGTGGATTCTGGCAAATTCCGTTAGCCACAGAAAGTGCTAAACTGACTACATTTATCAGACCCTTTGGGAGATTTTGCTTTGAAAGATCACCTTTTGGAATTGCCAGTGCACCTGAAATTTTCCAAAAAACAATGGCAGAATTGCTAACTAATGCAAATGGAGTTGTCGTTTCCATGGATGATATTCTGATATCCTGTCCTCACAGCAGATGGTAACTGGCTCCTCACAGTCAAAAGCTGGGCAGAGCACTCTGATAGTCTCCTGAACTGTCAATCCACTATGTCCAATGGAGCCATTGACTCACGCCCGCAGTGTCCTGTCCTGGAGGGGCTAGCTGTGGACCTTTCTTTAGACAAAGTTACTAAGGCCATCAAGCAGCTGTTCAGGGGCAAGTCTCCACCCCTGGTTGCATTCCACTTAATGTGTACAAATGTGGAGGTGTTCACCTGGTCAGAAAACTCACCAACTTTTTCAAGACTATATAGGAACAGGACACTGTGCCCCAGGAGTATAAAGATGCCTTCATAGTCCATCTATACAAGAGGAAGGGAAGCATACCTTGCAGTGAGAACCATCATGGAATTGCACAACTGTCTATAGTGGGGAAGATCCTTGTAGTCCTCAGCAAGCTCATCTCTCACTTAGTGGACTCGGTGTATCCAGAGCCACAGTGTGGCTTTCGTCCTGGCCATGGCACCATGGACATGAGTTTTGCAGAGAAGGCTGGTGAACAGAACAAGGACCTGTACATGGTGTTTGCTGGCCTGACCAAGGCCTTCGGCACAGTGAATCACAAGGGCCTGTGGAAACTCCTCCATAATTTTGGCTGCCCAGAGAAGAGGATTGCTGTCATCTGCTCACTTCATGATGGCATAATGGGCAGGGTTATGGAGACTCATCAGAAGCCTTCCCTGTCACCAATGGCAATGGCTCTCAACCTTCCCAGACTACTGTACCCCTTTCAGGGGTCTGATGTGTCTTGTGTACCCCCAAGTTTCACCTCACTTAAACTACTTGCTAGTAATTATAAAATAAATCAATTAGAATATAAATATTGTACTTACATTTCAGTGTATATAGAGCAATATAAACAAGTCATTGTCTGCATGAAATTTTAGTTTGTACTGTGGGGGGAGATAGCTTAGTGGTTTGAGCATTGGCCTGCTAAACCCAGGGTTGTGAATTCAATCCTTGAGGGGGCCATTTAGGGATCTGGGCCAAAAATTGGGGATTGATCCTGCTTTGAGCAGGGGGTTGGACTAGATGACCTCCTGAGGTCCCTTCCAACCCTGATATTCTATGACTTCACTAGTGCTTTCTATGTAGCCTGTTGTAAAACTAGGCAAATATCTAGATGAGTTGATGTACCCCCTGGAAGATCTCTGCGTACCCTTGATTGAGAACCACTGACCAATGGCACCAAACAAGGATGCGTAATGGCTCCAGCCCTCTTTGCCACTGTCTTTTCAGCCATGCTCTTGGTCACATTCCAGGACTTTGACAGAGGTGTAGACTTCTGGTTTATATTGGATGAGGGGTCTAGTCAATCTACAGCAACTCAGGGCCTGCACCAAGGTAACTGAACAGCTACTAAGAGATCTCCTGTTTGCTGACACCTGTGCTCTCCCTACACACACACTCGAGGACATTCAGCTTATTGTGGACCATTCTTCCTATGCCTCAAAATGCTTCAGTTTCACACTCAGCCTGACAAAGACAGAGGTCATGCACCAGCCAGCATCAGACCACCCGCATCATGATCCCATTGTCACAACCGACAACACACCCCTCAACTCAATCAGGAAATTCTGCTGCCCGGGTACCATGTTGGATGATGAGATCACTCAGCACCTGGCAAAGGCCAGCTTGACATTTGCCAGGCTCACCCATGAACTCCAAAGGGAACGTGGAGTCTGCCTCAGAACCAAGATAAAAAATCTACCACTCTCTTGTACTCACCTCACTCCTCCATGGGGCAACACATGGACGTTCTACGAACACCACATTAAACAGCTGAAGAGCTTCCACCTATGCTGCCTAAGATCCATCTGCAACATCAAGTGGCAGGACAGGATCCCGGCACAGAGGTCACTGAGAGGTGCCA